CTCACAGTCAACAATTGAGAACTCCAATTCAGATATAATAGCATAGAAACTATCCTAAAGTGTATAAATCACATTTCAGCATTTACTCAAAGAATAAAAATGAATTTACTCATATATAAACCCATATTCTTAATATAGTATTTATCTATAGTCATTAATATTTATGTGTGTATACATAAAATTTAGCCACTTAATCTCATTCATAGTACCTGTTCAGTATCCTACATCATTTGATTAAAAAACTGCTTGAAAAGCAATATGGTATAAGGAGTATAAAATGTACTGAAGTTCTGTCAAATAAAACTGGTATAGGTTTATGTCTCTAAAACATGTAGATAGAAATTAATGGCAAATTTTGTCAATAACGTCTATGTTTGAAATGTCAGCAATTGAAATAACTGATTCTATTGCCACATAATACTAGTAAATATCTTAAAGAAACCTATCTTGTTATTCTGAGGACCATATAATCTAAATTCATTACTGCTTCATCCTGAAGAACATACACTTACATTTTTAGATGGTTGGGGAAATAGCTTTTAATGTTTTCCACTGAATCCCATGGTTTGGATCTCCAGAGTGTGTCGTAGCTTTAGAATATGTGCTGTTTGAAGATTCAGTCATATCAGATGGTATTCTGATAATGTATTATTCATGACTCATTTACGGACAACCATGTGGCAACATGAAAGCAAAACATTACAAAGCCATATGTATCAGAGAATCCTTTTGCAGAAAAATAACAGTTGAGGGTGATTAAGTTTAAAATAGGTGAAAAAATAATTTTAGGAGAATTTTTCTCTACTCTCGTATTCTAGATAATAAACTCCTTTAGGATAAAAACAGAACCTAATCCAAATTCTATAAAGTTCTAATATGTAACACAGCATAGTTTCTTAGCATATTAAAGACTACTTAGCATTTCACTTATTTATATTATAATTAAAATTTTATTTCATAGAGTGATCTCTTAATCTTTGATTACACTTTGATTACAAATTCATATTTATAACTTAATAAGCAGAAAACTAGAAATATATGATAATTTGATAGGATTTATAAGGGTAAGAGAAGAAGTATAAAAATTATTTGATACTGCTTACAACTATGTACTTTAGGAAGAAATTTTTAAATTCTTCATCAAATCATGTTGAGATAGGAGCATGTATAGAGGGGGAACCTGTATTATATTCTAATCTCGTTTTTCTCTTGCTATTTCATCAAAGCAAATGCAATATTGTACTTCTCAATTAAAGATGGAAGCTCCCAGAAAGTCATTTTGGATTTAATACACTACAGTCCCCCCGATTCACAGAGGATACATTCCAGGATCCCCAGTGGATACCTGAAACCATGGGTGGTACCAAATACTATATGTACAAAGTTTTATTTTCCTTAACACACTTATCTGTGATAAAGTTTACTTTGTAAATTAGGAATAGCAAGAAATTAACAATGACAGTCGATAATAAAATAGGATAATTATAACAATATACCAGAACAAAGTTTTATGAGTATGGTCTCCTTTCTCTCAAAATACCTCATCGTGCTGAACCATCATACTTTCTCCGCTTGTGATTCTGCACACTAACCTGATGCCCCTGCGTAGAGATGAAGTGAGGTGAAGGGGGGACACTGTGACAGCATCAGGCCACTGCACAAGGGTCACCTGAGCATAGCCTTGTGATGATATGTCACTCGGGTAATGGGGAGAGCAACTGAGCGGCTAATAGGAGGGCAGCATGACCACACACATCTACTGAACAAAGGGATAACGCACGTTCTGGAAAGCACAGAGCAGGAATAGTGAGATTTTTAACAGGCCACTCAAAATGGTGCAAAATTTAAAACTTATGAATTATTTATTTCTGGAATTTTCTGGGTAATTTTTGATGACAGTTAACCACAGGTAGCTGAAAATGTACAAAATTAAGCCACAGATAAGAGGGACTGTTATAACTACTTTTTTCAGGCTATATAAGAGCTACCTTGAAAAATTTTAATTGTGGAGTAATACAGCCTTTGCTTAATCTAGCTGTGCTTTTTTAAAAAAGCAAATAAATCCCTATATTCTCATCATAAATCTCTTCAAGTTATATGCCATCAGCTCATTGAAGTTGAAAAAGTTAAGAACACACTGTGCCACAAAATGCCACTTGGGCATACTGAATATTTATGTTAAAGACACTTAAAAAACAGTAGGTACAAAAGTCACCCTGCAGTTTCTTGGAAATAGGAGATGAAAATCTCATATACAAAAGGCAGCATCCTTATGAGAAGTCTAGACCGCAAGTGTTCTGTACTGAGCTGGTTAAAGTAATTCTTCTCTTTTAAGGTATCCCACATAATTCAGTTGCTTCTTCATGATTCAATACTTTTTGTCCAACCCTGGATACACTGAATTGATTCAAGTGCTTCTTGGGGCTTCATTTCTGTATAGTGGCTCTTGTGCCGTGTGCACTTTTTATTGTTTTCCTCCTGTTGATCTGTGTTATGTCAGCTTACTTCTCAGGCCTTCCTTGGTTCCAGAGATGGAAGTGGAGAGTTGCCCCTCCTGCTGAGTGCTCCCTGTCCTCAAGGTGCCTGTGACACTTCTTTAAACTCTCTTCTTCCCCTTGGCACCTAGCTCCTATTTGTTTATTGTGTCTCAGCTTCTCTAAAAAGTCCTTCTCCTAAATGTGTTCTGCTCTGCTCTCCTGTGTGCTCCCATAAAGCATAAAATATACAAAATATTCACAGAGCACCTCTTATGTGCAAAGTACCACCGTTAAGTGTCAAACAAGCAGGGTTGACTCCAGCTTCAGGGGCTGTACAGTCCAGCTGGGAAGAAGACTTCAAGCAATTAGAAATGATTAAGGAAATGATCGTAAGTGTTCACCATGTCCTAAAGGAGAAATAAAGGGAGTTATGGAAATACGGAGTAGCAGCACCTAGCCAAGACTAAATAGTTAAAGAAAATTAGGAAAACTGTGTCATACATGGTCTAGGCAAAGAGAAGGAAAAAACAGGATTCTAGGTAAAAGGGCAAACATGAATAAACACCTTGAGGTAGGTGAGAGGAGGGAATACATCACAGTTTAGAAACAGGAAGAAAGGCTCTGCCCAGTGCAAGTCCTGCAGCAGGTGTATTTACTCAGGACCTCCCAGTAGGCAGGCCCCATCTCCATCAAGGTTTTTTTTTTTTTGGCAGATCACACCCTCTTCCCCCACTCTGAGGCTCTCTCTGGACTTGGGTCTTATTGAGTTTGAGATGGGATTATTTTGAGTCTCAATGACTGAACACTATATTATAGATACTACCAATTAACAACAAGTGTGACTCACATAATTGCATTCCTAGCTTTGAATAATTTAAAAGCAGAAAGGCTAGGAAAATCGAAACACAGTAGTGAGGATTTACAATTTTTTTTTTCCTAAGAAACTCAAAATCAGCTGCATCTGGATAAACGTATAACTTTCCATTGGCTGTTTTCTGTTTGTATTAAACAAATATTCAATTGTAGCAATTTATTGCTGAAAATGGCACTGCGCATTTCATATATTCAGCAAAGGTAGAACGGAGACCAGAAATGTTTCCTCGATTACTTTTGTTGAGTTTGCACACTGAACTACTTGCCAATTATGACAGTTAACAAGGTTTTTCTTCAAAGGAAGAAAAAGATTTTACTACTTCAACTACTTCAACCTGGAAAATATATGCTAGAGTAAATCTCTGATACACTGTATTGCTAAGAAGGACATTTTGGGTAGAATTGCATAATGCCTATCGCATCCCTCCAAATGTGTATTAGCTATGAGGTTTGAATATGTGAGCCATGTGGATGCATCCCACTGCTCATACTATTCTAAGAAACTCAGAATACTCTCATCCTCCTCTGCCAAATAAAGGAGAGGCTTCATGGATAGAGGATGGGAGTTGAGTTTAATGATGGTGAAAGTGATGCCATATCCCGCTCCCCCCACCATGCCTTAATCCCCTAACTGCTGCTGGTGGCATGTGGGGACAATGGGAGAACCAGTCTGAAGACAAAATTTACACAGCAGGGCTGAGATCTGACTGAGCTGTGCCTGAAGGCTGCCCTCTCTCACTTGATTACTAAGGAAAGGTCCACATGCATTTCCTGTTATTAGTACTATCAAAAGCATCCAACACGTAAGAGTATCTTCCTGGTTGAAAACTGCATAATTGATCATGCATCTCTGCTTATCTTTTTGCCCTGGCCAAAGGAGAAAACAAAAGATAATTTGTCATCCAAAATTTTAGGTATAATTTTATAGATTTTCATTAAGAAAAGACTTAAATACCCCTTGGTATCATTTCAACAGATACCAAAAAAAATATAGCAAAATAAAAACTTGTAAATTAAGTAAGTAAAGTGATTAAACATTGAGATTATAGATGAAAATCACTGAACACCCTTAAAGAGTACATGTAAAGCAGTAGATTCTTCTGTGGCTTAAAATATAAATCTCTCACTCTCTCTCTCTCTCTCACACACACACACATACACACACACACACAAGGAAAGTTGGTATTTTATTTCTTTACATGTGAGTGTTCAGTTGACAGCCCATGGCCCAAATCAAGAAACCATATTTGTTTGTTTATTTGCAGTCAATATTTGAACAGATAAATTATAAAATACTTGCTGCTCGATGTGGCAAAAATGAGCCAGAGATGAAGAATACCTAGTCACTTTAGGCCACCAATGAGTTCTCAGTTTTGATTACCTTAGACATGGTCCAGTTCACTCATTTTATACCTTGTCGCTGTAAGATGTTTAGATTTGTGACCTTTGAGTTATGTGCACCTGCTAAGGTTTTTATAGCTAAGTACAGCCTCATTTGATATACAGGGAGAAAAAAAAAACTGACAGAAATCTAAAAAGAACAGCACAAAAGTAATTAACTATTTCAGATAAGTAAAAGCCTTAAACAAGCCCTTTCATATATATCCTTGGTGATAAGAGCCTTAACTACCAAATCGGCGCATATCTTACCTGTAGGTCTTTTTCTTCTATCTTCTTTTGGAGCACTTTAAGGCACTTGGTAAAGTCAGTGTGGTCTTGATCTGGAGTTGAAAGAAGCTCACACCCCTAATGAATTGAAGAAAGAGAAATGTAAGAATCAGTAAAGTCTTTAGCCTCATAAACAAGAGCCAGAGCTGTACCACGGGCACCAGCAGACATTATGTATGATTTCTCTGTAATCAGAATCATCATCATCATCTTTTTATTTCCCAGGAATGGGGTCAATATACTACAACATTCCAATTACACTAATGTAGCATAACCTGTGCTCTTCTTGGGGCAAATGATTGTTCCAAGAAGGGTACAGGTCATACAACATAAATAGTCTTGAAAAACACTGATGTGATGACATTCAAGATTAAAAGAATGACTTTGAAAAAGTATAATAAATTATATGCATAGTGAAATTACATGAAATTAAAATGAAAGCATTTCTAAGAAAGTCTTTAGGGAATCTCCTAAGTTTACTTAGATGGATGGAAATACAAATTTTGAAAAAAAAAAGTAACGATTAAATTTTACATTTTAAATAAAATTAAATTAGCTGTCCTGTTTACTTTCTTGATGGCCCAGTTTACCACCCCCCCCCCCCCGTGTGAAAAGCAGCACAACGAGCTGTGCTGGCTTAAATGCCTCTCGGATTCCCTTTCAGACATAATGAAGTGAATTTATAAGATTTTTGCCTTCTCTACAACAGACGCCTCACCTGCTGAAAAGCACTAAAATATAGTTACAAATATAAAGCCATCAAGTGCCAGCTCATTGGCACTGGTCAACTTAGATGGCCAAAGAAATCATTTTTGAAATGACACCTTCTTTCCCACTGTTGCGCGGGGGCAAAGAGAGGTAAAACCAGAGCACAATGGGCCATCCCACTTCTTAATTCAGAAGTAAAACAAGTCCTGGACTCTGACAAACAGCTGAGTAAGGGAAAGTTAAATATAATCTAGTCTATAAAGTTGCCATTCAAAGAGTTCTCAAGGATACAAAACATGCGCACTGCCTCTTAAATTATTCTAAGGACCATTCTCAGTAGATTTAAAGGTTCTTCTGTTACCTCAAGGTCTCTTCAAACGCATCAAGCTCAACCTGTGCTTCACTCATTTATGACTGTCCTACAACGTAGTGATCAATGAAAAACTTAATTCCTCATCATTTCAGAAATATATTACGCTCTAAAAGATGTATATGTCATCTTTACAAGATCATTGACATATACTTCCCTGACCCTAAGAGAACATTGCAATTCACTATAATTGCTTAGGCAAGGGTATAAAGAAGTGACTAATCACAGGCTAACATTTCTAGAAAAGATCTAAGCATATGCCACAGCATAGAGGAATATTCTCAGGGCTGAAGAGATTAGACTATCACCAAATCCGACATGGTCAAACTGAAAGTTCCCTGAGGGCAGAAACTTGGTTGCATTTGTTAGTGTTTCTACTTCCTGGCATTGTTCTGCTACATAGTAACTGTTCAATAAATCTTTAAATAACCTTTCTTGAATAACAGATATGTAGCCTATTAAATGTAGTGAACGTACACCGGCAAGGGGCTAGGACAACACAACATCTTATTGTAAAATATAGCATTTATGACAATGGAAACCCATCTTTCTCTTTTAATGCTGATAGTAGAAACAATAAGAAGAAATAAAACTTAGCAGGCAAATAGAAATAGCAACAGATGATTAATAGATCCCCGTCTGCCTCACAGTTGCCTTCACAGAACCATCAGAGAGCACTATAGGGAAAATGACACTTGAACAGAACCCAAGAAATTACCTAGCGCCACAGCGATGCTACAGACTAAGAAAATAAAACAAGGGAAAACCATTGACTTGATGACCACTGGTCAACGAGGCAGCAATCAGCAGCAGTGAGGGGAGAGAAAATGGCCATCTCCCAGGAAGGGGAAAGGCATTCTTACAAATGGATGTTTTGTGACATTTCTAGAATTGGTTCCATGAGGATGACACTTCCAAAAAAAAAAAAAAAGCCACTAAAAACATGTCAACAAGAGTGGAATATCTTACTTTACCTCATCACTCGAAATGGACCCAGAGAAAAGCCCAGGTCAGGCTCAGGAGAAGAAGGACTCATACTGAAAACTTCAGGACCCATCTACACTGAGAACATCTATGAACTCTAGCTGAGGCCTCAGACAGCCTTCCATAGCTTCTTGGGATTTTCACGAGTTTAAACGATTCTGACCTCAACAGAGATTGAGACTGAATTCACTGGAAGTGGAAAAAGTTCCAAACGGTCTCAGCTTTCAACACTTAGGAGGCCTGCAAAACAAAATATGCCTCCCAGTGCAATCACAAACAGGCCTGTGGCCAAACAGAAATGTTTTCACTGCTTCCTGAGTCCTAAGGTAACCCATCAGAGGTGACAGGAGAAACAGGAGGCTGCAGACGAGAAGCACCAAGTTGCTGCAGGGAGAGAGACACGGAGAAACGCCATCAAGGACCAGGCAATGCCCACCTACGTGTCACACATTAATATTGATTTACAATTACTTATTAGATAGAATAAAACTAAACATCACTGTGGCATTGAGATTTTAGTATTTAAAAAACTTGATATTAAAAAAAAAAAAAAAAACTCTTTACATTCACCAAATACCCAGAAAATACTGAAGTCAGGAGATTTGGCCATGAGGAAAGTACAAGACTTTCTAATAAATAGTTTGTAATATTAGCTTCCTAATTAAAAAGCATGGTTTATCTCAAAATATACAGAATTCTATAATATATATAATTTTCCAAAAGCATAAAATATAAAACTCCAACCTTCTCATACCAAGGTTTTCGTGGAAACCTTTGCTTTAATCAGTACTTGGTTTTTTTTTTTTTTTTAGTTGCATGAAACATTTTTTAGGACACAGAGAATTATTTTATGAGCCACCAGGTGGCTCCAATTTCTTTCTATACATATTTTGCATGCAGTTTTTGTCAATATACAAGTACAGTTTTAAATAACTCAAATCTAATAACACACTCCTTTGATGAGTACACCATTTTTCAAGATGGATTATTAATTTTAGTACTGCATTGTATTAATCTAGGTTCATAATGAATTAGTAAGATTTGGATTGATGTCAAAAAATTCAGCATATGTTAATATCAAGGTTATTCTGTTTTTGTTCTAACCTTTAAAAATATTTTAAAGTAAGGAACAACAATGCCAACCTCAACCCTCCACTCCCAATATGCTTTCAAAAACATACATACTTTAAAGGAAAAGCAGGACGAACAGACAAAGTTAAAATGACAACTTTAAAATTCTGTTCCAGTATGTTGAATTGACTGTAGTCTGCTTTATCAGACAGCTCTTACCCCACAAATCTAAATCAGGAAAAGCCATATATAGTTATAAAAAAACTACCAGAGGTCCAACCAATATTTTTAAGGGCTTATTATTATGTTTGCTGCTTTATTGAATAATACTGTATACAGAAGAGGTAGGCATCCACCAGCAGAAAAGGGAAGTGAATATCATAATACTACCTATAAAATACATAATACATATAAAATACAAATATATTTATGTGTTCATCTGTAAAACAGACAGAGGCAGGTTCCTTTTCTTCCTCTTCTCATACTGAGAAATTCTTAGCAAACACCCACATCTAGTAAGTAATTGAAAGAAGGTCAGTCTTCAATTCATCCCTGAATTGTTCCCTTTCTTTTGGCCAGCAGGGTAGGCATTTGAAATTCCATTTGGACTTTGAGATCTAGCTACATTCCTTAAAACAGAGCTTTATTAGGAAACCCTGCACTTGGGAATAAGTACGCCACTATCAATACTGAAGCAGTCTGCACCTATCCTTGGGTCTGTTCAGTTAGACAGACTGCAAAGCGAGATAGTTCATCAGGGCACCAGAAGGTGAAAGGCCATATTGAAAAATAACTTATAAAAAGTATCTCAGGTTTACTCATCATTTTATGATTCATACATATCTAAGAATATAATTAGTTTTCAAGCAAAAGAAATCACTTAGCTTATTTCAAAATATACAGACATCTTCCAAAAGCATAAAATATAAAACCCCAATCTTCTCATACCAAGGTTTGAGTAGAAACCTTTGCATTAATCAGTACTTCGATTTTTTTAGTTGCATGAAACATTGTTTAGGACATGTTTTTTAATTAGGAAGCTAATTATTGACCATTCACTATTATTTAGTCATGATGTATAGATGAAAAGAGTATCAAAGATTCCCAGGGTTGGAAAAGCAATAAATGTCATCAAATCAACAAAAGTTTCAAGAAATTTAAAAAGATGCTAATGAAATTAATATGAAGGAATAAAGGATCAAGAAAAGCATAGGCAATTAGGCTCAAAGGAGGTAGCTGAACTCGCCTTTCTGGGTATTCAGGTTTAAAGACCTATTGTAACTAACAAAAATGGTATGGGCAAAATGAAACACTGGAGGATCAGCACCACAAGGGCAGAGAGACAAGCCCGCATCAAGGAAAGCTGTCTTCCAGGAACCACTCAGTGACTGACACCCCATAAGCACACCATACACAGCTATTGAACAATTAGCTGAACAAGAAGACAGAAACAGACTCATACATATTGGAAACTTAATAGCAAAGTCTAAAACCATTTATAAGAAAATAAAGTAGAAAATGATCGGACCTAGGTGTAGTACAGGTCATTTCTTAAATCAGATAGGAAAAAATTAACAAAGCCTACTACTTTATATTAGGAACTTGTTCACCAAAAAGCAACACGAATAAAGCAAAAACAAGTAAATTTTAAAATGAAAGAAGATACTTCCTACACACATAAGTAAAAGAGTGTTACTATCCAAAATATATAAAGAACTCCTAAGAATGTGCAATGAATAAATAACTGGTTAAAACATAAGCAGAGTATTTTAATAGGCAAATTATAGAAAGGTAAACCTGAAAAAGCCAATGACCATGAAAAGCTGTTGATTTTTTTTTACTCATAATCATAACAATGAAAATAAAAAATAAAATTGGCATACATGTCACACACCTCACTAATAACAAAATGGTGACATACTCAACCATTGTAACATTCTGTCAG